TTAGCTGTGTCCATAAACAACCAATCGTATAGTTACGTATGCGCCCACCACGTCAGTCTGGTCTGACATTTCTGTAAACTATCCTGTAGCTTGTGATATGTCAATTGAAGGACACTGCTTTCTCGTTATAATAATGTGACTCATTATTTTTATTCATTTCTAGAAGACACGCAATACTGGTCAGTACGCTTGTGTGTTCCACTGAATGACTATAATTCCTTTAATTATTGTACTAATCTGATTGTTTTTACTTTTAGTAACAGTTAAAGTTTCAAGCCAAGTAGTCTTTGTTCTGGCTATAGCCTTCGTGTTAATAATTCTAGTAGTATATCTGTAGGACAAATTATATCCCACATCTTGTCCCTCGTCTAGAAGAGGCTCCTGAATGAAAACTGTCCCCGAACAGTTCGCCGTGGCTCCTTCTTTGTCCTGGTCTTCGTCCGTAATAAGTTGGGGATCCAGTGGTGCATTCTTGTTCCATAATTTATGTACAATAACAGTCTCTTACGACTGATTGATTACAGATTGGATCAACTGCTTCTTTTATTTTCACTGAGCTGCCCGAATTGTACTGGTACAATTTTTTAGAACGACATGTAGTATTCCACCGCATCTGGTGTTACGAGGCCGATAGAGACACTTTTACGCTTATTTTACTGGTGTTAATTGCCTTAATGTCTATCTTCTATATGTTGGGCTGGGTCAGTGCAACTTCTTGAAAGATCATATTAGCCATGAACTTGAATGTGATGACCATATTATGTATTACTCCTACAGGTATCTGAAATGCAGTCTGACTGGCATCACGACTGTGAGTTAAGACCAAGTCCAAAACAGACTATGAGTTTTGTAGGTCATATCTAGTGGGACATCTTATGTGCCGGAATCAATCTAAGGTGGTTGGGGTATCTAACAATTTGTAATCAAGCGATTTTTTGATGTCCCTACTTATAAGTTCTTCCAATATGTAATGAGTGTATTAAAGTCATCTACTACAGCACTTTTACACCTATTTGACCAGGATTTAGGTTTACTTAAGATGAAGTCACCAACTACGTATCGTGGACTGCAGCATGCTAAAACCAACTCAGCGTTTTGCCTTTTACATTTCAGACGGCGCCACGCTAGCTCACGTGTCTCTGAGTTGTGCGACACTGTCTTGACAGCTCGTGTGGTCAGGATGCTTATTATATACAGGGTAACCTCACCATCTCTATAGTTTAGTCTCTCAGACCAGGAGGGTTAGAAACCACAACATGCCACAACATGCTTCTGACGTTGCTCATACTTCTGAAGTAAGAGTAACGTAGTAGTTTTCTGTGTTCACCGTGTTTTTATTTAGTAAGCTGTGAACATTGCATTATTACTTAGCACGACCAGAATTCTAACCCAATTATGGTGTGCTTGGATATGGTGTGTAACGTGTACGCGATGACACTGTATAAAGACTGTATAAAGACTGCACCCAGTGTAATACCAAAGCATAAAGCTAGTCAGTAACTTTCCGAGACATCTGCACGAATGTACTGTCATTTACTTTTATTGATTTCATCTATTTAACGGCCCTGCTTGGGAAGCATACTGTAAGCAAATTAATGTTGTAATTTGTAGATCAAGAATTCAAAAATGGCGCGTACCTGCCCCGGCAGAAATATAGTATATTTGTACAGAATACCTTTAATTCTGTCAAAAGCCCTACTGCACTATCCAGAATAGTTTGCGAATAGTTTCGCTCAGAACTTTTACTATGTGAAAACCCCTAAGTACAAGGTTTTTTCATTGTTTCGGCGTCGCTCGTTTATTAATTCATGCCTCTCTTATTCGTCTCGTAATGTGATGATCACTATTGTCATAAAAACTTCATTAAAATTACAATCCTATGATGATAAAAATAAAACAGACCGAGACGAACTACTGTTTTATTTTCTGACCTTTACATGTTTAACTGCAACTTCGTTGATCACATTGCATAGATGCATTTCTGTCTCCATTTGCTTATGCTATTCCCTAACCGTTTTAATATATATGCCCTTGTTGATTGTGCACTGTTGAATTCAATTACACTTCGGTCGTGCTCGCCTTGTGCGTCGAACATATGAACTCTGGTTGATTATCTGTTATTTTTCAAATTATACGAGTGTATAGCTGGAATTATGTGGTGCGATATGCTATCGAAGTATAAGGAGGTTGACGTTCGACTAAAAGACACTATTAAGTGAAATACATTCGATTCTATATGGAAATAGAATTTGAATGTTCATCTGAAGCTGGAGTGTTAGTGATATAGGAAACAGTCGTTATGTCTTACAGTATCCCACTGCAATTGGACTGCCATTAAGGATTGCATGAATTCTTCAGGTTGTACAACGTTGCCCAAAACATCTGAGAATGGTGTTACTAATGTTAAATATCTCGTCATTGAGAGTAAATTGAGTATACTGTCCTTTTGAATGTTATTGCCTAGCGAGTCTTTTTAGTGTGTGTGGGTACCCCATGTTTTGTCGGGAGAATAAACTAGACTAGTAGTAAATATGTCTTTATTTAGATTATAGACGATCCACTTGAGAGCGAGGATATCTTTTCAAATACACATTAAGCACAAAATAAAAGGAAATATAAAGCCTATGTAAAATAGAGGAGTACAGAATAATTGCACTTCAATGTTCTGGCATTTATTTAGATGCTTGAGGCCGAGTCTTAACCAATCAAGCATAAGCTCGTTTTTAGACAAGTACTACCCAGTTTACTTCAGATAAATAATGCGTTTCTGGGGCGAACATGTTGTGGCAGACCCGTTGTGCCATATGAGGTCCTTGAACAGTTTCAAAAGCATTAACCCCCTTAAACTCGCCCAGCTTCAAAAATAGGACACCGATATTCAGTTCGAGTTAGCATCGACATCCCTGAAAATAAGAATCAGACAGATGGGAACGGCTATGGAAGCTTTACTATGAGACAAATCCACAGGTAAGGGTTATCCAATCGTGCCGAAAAACTGTCGACTCAACGCCTTCGATACGTTGCACAGGCTTTGTCATCCAATTGTTCGAGCAAACATCAAGTAGGATAATTTTATTGTCCCAGTGTGAATAAAAACGTGGAATGGGCCCGCTTCTGTTTAGGGCGATTGGAAACAAAAAACGTCCCTCGGGCTCTTTCTAAACTCTCAAAGCTCTTTCCAACCATACTCATCTGGATTTGGTAGAACCCTTGCCAGATTCAAAATTATAATATTGCCCCTTAAACCGTGTAGACCGTTTCACATGCTGTGCAGAAGCAATAACCATCAAGGACATTACTGCAGAAACAGTGGCGCTCACCTACGTCGAACGATGGATAGCAAACTTTAGTTGCCCTTCAACTAAAAATCATGAAAGTCAGTTCAAATGTGAACCTTGGCGTTGTCTTACTACACTACTAGGAATCAAGTAATTCCAAACGAGCCCCTACCTGGCACAAGCAAACGGATTGGTAGGACAATTTCACTAAAAATCGAAAGCTTCACTCAGCTACAAACGTTTCAATGAGAAATGACGCTCTCCCACTCGTTTTACTTGGTATTTGCGATGTGGTGAAATCCGACGTTGGATACACTGCAACACAATTAAGTTACGGGACGAAGCTCCAACTTTCAGGAGGATTCGTGGATCCGTCATCTTCTTCAATAGATATGAATCTAAACTCTTACAATAACAGACTTACGAACGCTACGCGTTCATTTGAACCTATTTCCATTCGACCTCAGTTTTTGTTCAACCTGCCTTATGATAAATCGCCAACGTTTCTGTACATCGCAATTCACTTTGATGACTTCATAAAATGGCACACGAATGGCTCTTCATAGTTTATCGTCAACCTAAATATTATGTCGTCAATAACAATGGAACTAACGATAACGTTGGTACTAACAATCTTAAACCTGCTAATTTATAGGAAGACTCTAATAATGTTGGTTTTCCTCTGGTACATTCAAGCAAGACGAAACTCAACACGCTAATCAACGATCACGAAAGAAAAACCCCAAAATGAACATTATTTATTCTAATATACTCATATACATATGTATGTTTTGCTTTTTTTCAAAAACATCGTGCGAAAATTACTTTTGCGTTATTACATGTATACCAGTTCGTTTTCCTTTATTCGCCTGTTTTGTGTCCTTACGAACTTACGAATGTATTTTGACATGCATTTACAATCTCCTTCTTTTCTTTTCCAGGATGGCTAGGAAAAAATGAAAAAGCAAACGAAGATTGCGATTAATATAATTCTTCATTGTTTATATTTTGACATTGTTAGATTGTACTACATGGTCCATTATATTAGGGAAAGGCCACCAGATGCTGCTGAACGAAACAAGCTGTCAGAAGAGTGCTTGCCAAAGACGAGCCCACTTCTGACCGGCCAGATCTTAGGCTCATTACTACCCCCGCTAGGGCAGAGTAGGGTGCAGCAGCAAATGAATCTCTAAAATAAATAAATCTGTAAGTTTTTGACATCCATGATGACCCTAATAATTTTGTTTGACACATAAAGCCCAAGGTGATCGGTTACGCACCTGAACACCGTGCCACGCACCACTTTCAACTGTTAGCCAGCTTAGATCAAAAGCTTCTCGAAATATCGATAGCTTTCCTAATGTATCTTCGAGACCCTTCATCTCTGATTTGACTGGGTTTATATAATTTAATCATATAGGTGTCACGAGTCAAGGCGTTGTCAAAATCCTGATATCGGTGGCATTTTTAGATCCATCCGTATGAATGTGATCACTAACTGATAGATTTTTTAAAGTACAAACTGGCCTAGAAACGTAACTTCGGAAAACTGAGTAGTGAAAATTGTCGTTAACGGGTCAACACGTGAGGCCGTAGTAGGGGAATGTACTTTAGGGTTCCCAGTATATTGAACCTCAATCAATCCTGGTACTTTAGAGGTTTTGTGATCATAATGTAGTATCCTACAAGCACGATACAACATATAAGTGAAACCTGTAGCATATGCGGCTCTTGAAAGGTGGCGATCAAGGTGAATGTGGTTTTATCATTAGTACATCTTTCAGCTTGTTGTCAGAAGCCATTGCAACGATGAGTATGACATTGTCAGGCGCAATTCAAATATTTCCACGGGAACAATTTGGACATTGGTCATAAGCACTCACCTTAATCATACCTATAGTTTACTTGGTCGTGTTGGCCAAACGACTGTCAGAAAATAGGTGTCGCAAAAACACTAGCCCAGTACGCGTTTCATTTGCGTCTCGTCGTATAATTTTCAACAGTTAGGAAGTTGTATTACAGCCAGTTACAGTATCGACCGGCAGTTAAAGCCCGCTTACCAGTATACAAATGGCTTCCCCTCCCGAATCTCTACTGTTACAATGGGGTTGAAAATATTTGCTACAGGGAGTTTGGCTTGGTTCGCTTAATGTTCGTTGCCTCTTGGTTGTCTGTTCGGAAAGGTTACTGGAATTCTTGTAGATAGATATCTGATCCCATCTTGTTGAGAAAATTTTTGTTGATCCCCAGGTATCAAATTCCCGTTTATTAACTATTCTTTTTGTTGTTTAGCACGCTCTTTTGTGTTTAAGAAAATACCCTTAACTTTATAGCACAAGCTGTACCGTTTCCGGTATTTTTTCACTTTCGACACAATTCATTATCTTCTTGTAATTAGAACTGATTAAACTGAACACGGTTTGTGTTCTGATATAATTTAGTACGAGTCACTCTAATACGCTTTACATGCTGTACCGAAGGACATAGTCTGGCCTAATCGAATACACTTTATTCCTTCATTTATGCGTGCAAACCGAATTCTGGTATTTTGGCCTTTAAAATACATAAAGAGAAATTCGTGAAATGCCTTCAGGAATTCATACTGAAATGGAGAAAGTCCATTTAGTATAATCTGTCTCATCTATTGACCAGTATCAAACAAGGCATTCCGGGGAATAGAAGCTTCAGAAGTTGAGGTGAACATTAACCTTCCAACATGAATGAACAGTCCCTAGATTTGAAATTCGCTGTATTAACTGATATTTTATTCAATGTCTGTCTGTTTTTCACTTTATCTATTATCTACTTCGAGATATATTAAGAATTGTAATGCATTATATAGAAAGTTGAACGCTTGCATTTTTCATTTCACTTTCTATCTCCTTATTGTAAAAGTCTTTCTGACTAAACTAGTGCCTCAAATTCGTCGGAACGAGTCGCGATTGACTATGAACACCACTACAAAGGAATGCATGCCAGAATATCTATAAAATCCCCCAGAAACCAAATATCAGAAGGCAGTTAATAGACCAAGTCGAGATATATTTGCTAGCGATCTCGTGGTATCGAAAGAATACCGAGATCGTAACCGGATTAGCGCGAGGTCACAATCGAAGTAAGTATACTGAATGTTTTCAGCACAGTTAAACAAAGGGCACATTAAAGCAGTCACTGGTACAATTTGTTATAATAATAATTGTTTTCATTAGATCAATCGTGTTCTCGTGATAAAAGTAAGTCACTACACATCCAACTCAATCTGCTTTTAAATTTTATGACTACCATCGCACAAATGGGGTTAGCGTGAATGTAATTTGAGTAAAAAAGAATTGAACTCATGACAAATTCATTCTTTCCTTCAAATTGGAGTCAGATCATCTGACGATTTTTCTTTGGAGAACGTCAGCTTTTTATATAACTGCTTCTTATGATCTTCGCTGACATCTACGGGTTTGAGAATATTCGTCGCATGAGGGTTTCAGGATGCTGTGGAGTATACTGCATTTCAGTATCTGTTGTTGTATCGTATGGATTGTTCGCCGACTTCATCTTTTCAGTAATCCTTCCAAAAACACAGGATAAGAACGCGTAGTTTGTATACAAGACTGCACTACGAACATTCTAACAACGTATCCTTATTGTCAGAAGTAGGTTTTTCGATCTATTAACACCCCATATCTGCATTACGACCTTCAAAAAGCGTGTTTTCCTGGAATGGAATTCATTTGTCGACAAGCGTTTAGGACTTTTCTGGTTTCAGTTAAGTTTTAGTTTGGGAGGAAATTTCGCCATACTATCAGTGAGAAATAAATATTTTCTGACTCTGCTTAGACTAGCTTTATCTTACAAGTGTAGATTTATGTTTCAGTAGGATTGGTTTCGTTTCATTCTTCCTAGTTGTCAGCAGCCTTTTGATCAATTCTATTTAAAATCATTTGGTAGGGAAATCATATATGAGAACAAGGAGTACTTAGTGAGTGGCACTGCAGGCAGGTGTGACCAACGTTTTGTCGTGGCGATTTTGCGCTTTCAGTACGAGAATCATAGAAGCTTGAAGATGTCAACTCATTTTACTCATCATATCACACTACTATTTATGCTGCGTGGCAATAATCTTACCACCGGTAGAAAAAATATTTGGTCTGAACTGTCTTTCGAGGTATCTAGAGATTATTTATCAAGCGCCAAAATATAGAGGATACGTTAACTTTAAGTCATATAGTCAACCTGTGTATTTGAACTCCATTAAAATAAACGTACTCACGAAGAAAGTACATACGTGAGTGGCACATGTGTATTAGCCGCTTTTCATGAAAACAATCACGACCGAAAAATTTATCACGTGATTAAAATACCTCTTTCTTAAGAAACCCATTACTACTGCAGCCTACTAGCTATACTAAATTAATTTTATACCACTGGGGTCACTAAACACTAGTGAACATCAAGATTTTAAGCCAGTTAGCGATTTTGTTTAATATTAGTGTGCCGAAAAGATATTGGATATAGACCCATGGAGTGACCTTGCACTTAAGTCTATGGCGGCTTGATCCGCCATTGGTACTGGTTAACAAAGTACGTTTTTCTTTAGCTACCTGTAGTTGTTGTACTAACAGTTTTCTCAGAGATATCTCTGTTTATTTCTGACTAATTTGACTCGTCGCCTAGCAGCTTAGAGGTTTTGAGAGTCCGTTTGGTTCCGACTATGTGAATCTTTTCTAATGAGTCACGAATTTATGTAGTCAAACTGTTTCTTTTCGGCATTGAAATCCAAGGCTGATAAATAATGTTTTTGGTTCCAGATGTTTCGGCATCCTAGCGAGAAAATGCACCACGGTGTGGTTAAATACCTGTAAATCGAAACTGTAGTGCTAGTATTAATTATCGTTCATAACGTTGGTATTAAGACTCTGAGGACTTGAACTTTTAGTCTATATGGCCAATCAAACAATAAGTTCATTCCCAACTATCTAGTTTCTAGCCCAAATAATTCTTCAAGGTCTGACTTTTCAACGTACTTGAGTTCAAGTGATTTGTCTTGCCTCCACAAATGCAACTGGTGCTGTATTTTCATCATTGCTCATAACGTCAAACTACGCGATCATTTACCAATTCAAAATCTCATAATTGCTGGTCCAATACCTCTGATCAAGTGGTAAAAGTATATCCGATCGAACAAGTAGCCTGTCTCTAGCATCCACAGTTTTTGGCCCCTATCCTTGTTAATTAGCTTGACATATTTTGCTCCTAGGCCAAGTATTTCAGTCTTTAATGCATCATTCTTCATACAGTAATACAAACCGCTAAAGTAGTCAATACAAAGCCAACTGGTCCAAAGAGCGTAGTTATTCGAGTGGGAAGAGTTGTCACGTACTAATTTATTTGCTCCTTTCATTTAAGATACCCTTACTATAAAAGGATATTAAATAAGAGACCATATTATTACTTATGAGGGGTAGCATGCAACTGGTGTTTGTGGTGGTGATAGACTAACTAGACTAAAGGTTTTCATTCATTCCGACCCTAAAGATCAGCCAGTTATAAATGGTTACCGACAGCGATTATTTGAAATCCTGGAAAACGAATTCAGTAAAAATCTGTTAATCATGTAGCAATGTGTTTGGTGAGAGTTACCTATCAAGATTCTAATTGTCATATGTAATAGCCAATACCGTCACAAAGTATTTCCACAACGGTATGCTTCTTTCTGTCCGAGTTATCGTAATTTACAAGAGTAGAAGATATTCGTAGGCCACTAGTATTCGATCGTAGGTGTCTTCGAATCATTGCTCGTATATCCTGGGACCACTAAGTAAGTAATGCAGTTGTTAGGGGACGGGTACTAGGTAAGGATGGCAAATCAATTGATGAAGTAGTGAAACTTCTTCAGCAGCGGCAAGATCAAAACAGCACAGATCCATGAAGTCACTGACAAGTGAACTGAGCCATGTTGGTAGGTATAGACTACCTGGTTGGGATCCACTAGACGGTAGCAACCGGTGGTTAGGCCTTGAATGACATGACCCAAAATCGTTTGGAATGGCACAAGTGCATCCACTCGTTGTGTTCTCCAAAATTCTAATCTTCTGAATTCCTCATGTCCATTTCTTTCTCTTATCAAATTTATTTCACTGGATTATACTCTTTAAATAACATCTTCAAATACTAATTTTCCCGATTACTGCCTATAATTTTGCTACCTCTACCACTACAGGATTTGAATCGACAATTGTATCTCTGTGTTCATGTGGTATGGTAACTCGAGCTGATGTACGTACGTACGAAGTCCTTTGTTGACTGAATGACTGAATTCACATCAGCTTTTGAGGAAAAACTATCATTCTTATGTTATCAGTAACAAAGGAAAAACCAAGTTGTACCAAGCTGTAATAGTACAGTGCTGAAAATTGTGAAAAGTGAGAAAATGGCGTGTCTGGTTCATTTTGAGCCATGTTTCCTTGTGTTTCTCCAGACCTTTTCAAACCATAATCTCAACCTATAGCCTCCCACAGAGACATTGATACTACCATCATTTCGGTCCTTCTGTTATTCCTCTTGCTAGATTATACTATAATATGTCAAATCGAGTTAACGCTCATTTTCCACAGGTTTTGCGTTGATTATAGCTGCTTGTCGTTTCTAACCATAAGTCACGGTTACTTCGTGCCTGACCTGTAACCTGCGCCAAGGCATGTCAATTATTTTTTGAATTTTCGGTTGAACGTAAACAAGTAAGCCCGTTTGTTTGCTAATTACAGAACATGGAGTGGAAATGATCAGATTGTGTTCTGTTTTAAGACTTTGATGTTAGCAACAGATTCAAAAACATTTCCTGTGTATCGTGCTTTTTTTGTTCTATACGTACATTTGAAAACCGTTTAAGGGGATCATGTAGTGTTAAAGCCATTGACAAATTATTTTCGTAAGACAATGTAAAATTTTCAGTAAGTTGCTACGGAGTGATAATTCAATCTGTGATTGAATTATTATTAGATTTCACTACTAACCTCATAATTCATTTTTATTTAAGTAAATTTAGAGAAATGGAGTTTGATGTATTTGAAAAGTTAAGTGAACTGGAGACTGAAATCCACATTTTGAAGAAGGAACTCGAAGAAAAAGATGCATTCATTCAAAACCTGATGGACAAAAATACGGACTTAGAACGCCGTCTACTATCTCTTGATCAAAACAGTGTGACCGGTGAAAATAATTTATCACGTGTAAAAGAGGTTGCTCCAAACGGTTCGAATACAACTGATTCTAAAACATATGGTGCAATCGTCTAGTGAAAATTTATATTCCATTCTTAGGTGCATCAATAGCTAATATGCTTAAAGAAACATCGGAAGCTGTTGTACGTAATACAGGCTATACATTCGACGAACGAACTGGTTTGTATTATGATCATAAAAGTGGTTACTATTATGATCCGGTATGTTATTTTAAACTTTCTTTGAACTTCGTAAATAACTTTAGGAAAATCAGTTATTTTACGAACCCAAAACCGGGACATACTATAAGTACAATTCAGAAACCGGTGAATATACAAATTATACTGCATCAGAAGACGATGCTATGAATAGCAAATTCAAGGAATTCTCTCACCCGGTGTATGCACACTTACTAAAGGTAAGAAGTTTCATCCATAAATGTTGATCATATTTTAAAATTTCACGCGCAAATTTGCTTAAAACAAATATAGATTGATTGAAAACTTTCTTTTTTGTAATGTTCCAGCCTATTCTGTTTAATTATTTTAGGTCAGTTTATATCGAGTCATCGGATCATCAGTGGAGATACAGTTGTACAGAAAACAATCAAATCCACTCGAAAGAAACAAACATTTGACATTTTATCTCGATTTCCTTACTTACATACTCTTTTATTTTCATTACTTTTCACTTTCGGGATGTAATTGTTGGGGGTGTTGAATGAAGAAAATGCAACAGCGCCACAAAGCGGAAAAAGAAAACGATCATGGTTACCTATCAAAGACTGTATCTAGACATAGTCGATCAACAAGCAGTGATATTGGTCATCGTAGAAGACGGAGAAGTCGTAGTCACTCTGGTTCGCGTTACTGTCGTTCATACTACAAACATAGATGTGAAAGTCCATCATTTCATGGACATACAAGGCGCAGACAAAAATCTTACAGATACTCCCATCGTTCTGGAAGTTCTCGTAGTGACGAAAGCCGCTATAAACGTAGTAAACATCGGAGAAGAAAACACTCCCATCGACGCAGGCATCGATCATCTTCTACTACTGGTTCTGTGTGTTCCTACAAAAGTCGAAGTGAGTTCTTCTGAACTTACCGCCCATATTGTGAATTTATCTTTCATTTTTTGTGTATTAACATTTCCATCCCACTTTTTCATCTTTTAAATTAGTCAATGCGTGAACAAGTTTCCACTTAAAGTACGTTACTTTATTCAAGAATGCATTTATTCATCGTTTTATTTCTGTACATGAGTTTTATCAAAATGATGAAGAGGTGCTTTTTCGCTATTTCTGTGTGATGCTTGATTAAAAAGTGAGATATCTGTAAATCCTATCTAAAATGCCTATTAATATTGCTATTACTATTGTTATTGTTATTATTATCAGGTTAAGAATAAAAATATGTTGAATTTTCATTCAGCAAATCAGTTTTGTTGATATTAGGTCATCGATTTATTTGTATTTTTCCATAGATTATAATTAGTACAATATTTACTACTTTTCGGTGAAATATGTATATACTTGTCAATTAGCAAAGCTTGATGTGTCTTGTCCTATTTACAAGATTAGTATTTATTATACAAAATACTTTTTCTTTTGTTTACGATGGAAAATAGCGGGTAGCAGTTTCTGGTCTCGATTGCCATGTTTCGTTAATAACAAAACTTTTTATGGGTGTACGTGATTAACATAACTGATATTCGTAGTTGAAGTTAGTCCTAATGATATTATTAGCGATCTAAATAGTCTGTAGGTGATGTTCCGTTATTATTGTCTTATGAAACAACACTTGTGGTTACGCAAACTGATTTCGAGCAGAAACTAGAATCTATTATTCTAGAAATTTTCACACGTTTAAACGCTTACATTAACTCTATGGTCTTTACATAGCTGCTTATCTACTAGTTTCATCTCATAACCGTCTTTCCTTCGCTACTAAATTGGTCTTTTTATTTCGACTTGTTCATTTTTGACAAATGTTTTGTAATGTTTTAAAGCTGTACTGTGTTAAATCACTTCAATAATATGAGTAATATTTTAGTTACCAGCCGCTTAATACTTGACAATTGTGTTGTAGACTATATCTCTTCTATACCTGGTAGCACACAAATTTTGATAAAATTTTCAAACTCTTCTTTAATCGCACCAAGATTTACGAGTGTATTAGATAATTTAGAACAAATTATTTTGTTCTTATCATTTATTGCTTTTTTGCAACTAATGACATGACAGGAAGTACGCTTATATCTCTCAAACGCCGTTTAGTCTGATTAAAAATATTTTCAGATACAATTTGTTTTTTGAACGTAACTAGCCTTTGTTTTAGCTTTAAAAGTTTTTTAGAGTTAACATTTGAAAGCAAACAGTTGTCAAACGGAGAGCTCTACGGATTTTACAAGAATCATCAAGAAAAACCGTAAAATATAACTGGATGAAAATCAAAGTGAATGTTGTACATTAAATAAATTTCTGGTTAAATATTTTGCCTTGTAAATTTTCATTTTTAGCTGCCAGCCTTATTCAATAAATTGATTTGTGCTGTTCTTTCAATGACTGGCTATAACGTTTTAAATTTGGGAAATCATCTGTTGCAGTGTATTTGTGTTTCAAAGATACAATTATCAATTGCTCAGTGGATACTATCGAAGTTTTTAAAGTAGGATAAATGATTCGACCAATTACAGATGTTCAACAATTTTTTTATTCATATTTCATTGACTAATTCGTTATAGAATTTTATTCGATCTAGTGACTAATTTTGACAGTTAAGATAATCTGACTAGATCCTCAGCCATCACACTTCGAATTTGTTCTGTTTAGGGTGAATGGATCCATAAAACTTTTAAACCATCGAAACAAAAGCTTAGTTTATATCTAATTGTAAATCTTGACAAACATCATTTATTCTTGTAGCGGCGTATATCACAGTATGATTAGGTTGTGATGACGAATTTCGAAATCCCTATTTTTTTAGTATCAAGTAAGTTAATGTACGAAATACGAATCGTTAAGTAGTTTCTCCTATTTCTGAACGCAGTCATATTTTACATGTGATGTACGTTGCCGAAGACTAGTATTATCTAAACCGTCGTACTAAAACTCATGTAAAAATGTGGATTCGACTGCTCCCACAGTTTACCGCTTATCGCTTTATGATAGGTTTTTATTCCAAATTAGCTTCATCGCATTAATTTGATTTTCTTTCAATAAGTAAAGTTCGTTTTAGTTTTAAAGAAGTAGGCACTGTGTACATCTTAGTGCATAGAACTGAATATGTACCCGTTTCACACAACTAGTAGCTCATGGATGGAGTGATATTTACTTTGTACCAAATAGTTTAGATAAACAAAGTGGTATTTTGTTTATTAAATTTCATTTTCCTCTAAACTGTTTACATTTATTTGGTACCACGCGAGTAAAACTTCAATCTTGTTGTGTCTTTTCTTTCATGACCTTAGTACGTGTATGTAAATGAGAGAATTGATGTGGTAGAATCATAATTGAGTCTTCCTGATCCGTTTATCATGTTGGGTGCTTAATATCGAATCTGTCAACAATTTTCGATCTTTGAAGTAAGCGTATTGTTTTAAAGTATCCCCTAGTAGTTATAAGGGTCGGCGGAAGTAAGTAAAACATAAGGATTCGTATATTATCCACTTATTATTTATGGGATTGATGTTTTGGGCCAATTATGTTTGAAGGGTAAACAGGATAGCAGTTCTTCACCATGGATAATATTGGTTCAAGTAAGTCAATCAGTCATAGTGAACCTGGCACGAATGTGTACATCTTAATTCAAAGTAAGTCCCGAAATTGCAGTCCTATATTTCACAACGTCGTTAGCTAAGTTGTTGGGTAGATGGTCTCTAGGCTGATTTTCTTAATCAGGCAATAGGCAATAATTTGTCAGACAAGTTTTGGTCATAGATATAATTACCGTTCGATCTATACTCCTTAGTTGTGGTGGAAAGGTGATTTAGCTAACCCTTTCTCATACTATATTACAAGAAGTTACCTAGCTTTTTATTTCCTTTTGCAAAGTTACTCCTCTCCGATAATCTTTCCTTACTGGCAACTTTTGCAAACGCATGTGGAGATTTTCCTTTGTTCGTATTTCCTCTGTCTTTATGTACATCAAACTTGACATTTTGTCGCTGTGTTAGTCCTCACTTTTAGTTAATTGTTTTCAGCGAGTTCCAGCTATTTCTCGACCACACTTGCGAAAGGCTTTATCCGGTCGATGGAATAATACTTTTAGATATCTGCTTGTATCTCTCATTCTCATCGTGTTGAAGATACCTAACTTGGTTCTGTTCAATGTGTTCGTCAGTGTAATAAATTGGTCGATGTTAAATCCTTAAGTTGGTTCCTATTTATTGCTTTATTTCGGTCTTGTCTGCGGTACATAATTTCATCATTCACTTTTTATATTAATCATAAAGATAATTCGGTCAATAGAGTAGATTTTTCCCTAGTCCATCAATAGTAATCATTTTCCGGAGTGTAGGGATGATTCAGAAGGTACGACTCCCTTAATTTATTGCCAATTGATCAACCAAACCTCTCTGCCTAGTAGTCGGCTTTTTGATTAAATAAGAAATGCTGATTCACATGTATTTATCAGAAAGGCAGTTAAATCATAATAATAGTACCTGGGTTCGATACTTCGTGATTTGGGTTTTTTTTAGTAAATAACACGTTCGTCCCCAAAGGTCCATGTTTATCTGTAGCAATGTCATTACAAAAACAAATCACAACTTAAGTAGATATGAAAATTTTCCATCATGAAAGTAAATTATCGTAAAGTTTGTCTTCATATTATTATTACTTACGTGGCTTTTTAAGTCTTACACAACTAGTGACTTTTTTGAATCATAATTAAGGTTATTAGAAATTGTCGTACTCGAGCAATTCGAAGGACAACAATACTTTCAAAAGATACTATTCGGAATATAACGATTCTATTGTAAAATAGAAAATTCTGAGTTGCGCTTTACAATAAATGTCATGTTTCTCCTGTCACATTCACTCGTTAACCCATGGTCTTGTAAATACTGAACAGAACACAAATATATCTTTAACTGGAACGTAGATGATTCAACATCGAGATTAAAATAACTTACTGAGAAAAGTTTTGTTCTAGGATGACTTTTGTCAAAATAAGGTGCTGTGCAACTTGCGTTAAATTCATAACGGTTTGAAATTGCTATATCAGATGTATGTAAAATTTCTCAATTCTCGAATCGTATGCAGAGTAACAGGATAACTTGTATCTATCTCAAGATGACTCTAAAACATAATTACGCGTAGTAAATGTAATAACACTATGTTTGAGGTCCCTTGCAAATTTCAGAAGCTACTATTTAATTAGTAAAGTTCACAAACACATCTCGGCTACGTAGGATTGCTGACAAATACTTCATCTTAAGTTAGTGAAATAATTTTGAAAAGTAATTAACAAGAAATCCACAAGTAATGAAGAGGACAGTGTCAATGAATAATAGAAAACTGTTTAGACTCTTCAAAAAGACATGAAGGTACGCTAAAAATTCTGGGTAATGATTCATTTGCAAGCAGATTGGTCAGGTATTAGGTAAAACACTGAATAGCAATTTAGTAGGCCTCAGGTTCCCAATATTTCATGGACAAATTAAATACGAGGTCGATATATGGCTCTTAGAAATCTGCAAAGTTGAAAAAGCCATAGCTAACCAGTAGCGATATTGGCTGTGACATTTTCTTGAATTGTCAGTTAATTCATCTGTTATGCCCGAACCGTGGGTCATCTGAAGATTTGCTTGAAATAAAATCTCCCATAATTCTCTTGGGCTAGTCTGGATGTCCCGTAGTTTAATTACTAAGAGTAGAGTGCTCAAGCACTCTGGTCACTTAACTTATTTTGGCGGACTTATCAAACCTGTTGGTTTGATATCTAGTGAGATCTCAGGACGAATACACAAAAATCACCTAGTTTGTACTGTTGCAATACACCTGTAACGTAGAGGGGATGTTCGCCTGCCACTGAATGCGGAAGTACACTGCACGGCGGTCAGCTCTGTATTGTTCTTTGACTA